TTAGTAGCCTAGGTCAGCATTAAAAAAAGCCGAAAAAAACCTAGAAAAGTGAATTTCCTGCCAAGTTGCCCTCTCCGAAAGTTACAAGATTTGCGGGTTGCCGCTTGACAAGCCTACCTTTGCAGACTTGTAATTTAGCCTATCCCTAATAGAATTTAAATTTATTAGATTTAACATGTCCTGTGTTTTTAAATGCACATTAAATAATTCAATTCTGCTAAAGAATTATATAACTTCTATTGTTGCCTTTACAGCACAAAGGCACTCTGCAGCTAACGCACAACCACTGATCCAGCAGTGGCTTATGCCTGGTACCGTCTCTCTGACTGAAGTGCAGCCAACTCAAAATGGTACAAAAAACTTATAACAGACCTAACTCACTTCACTTTTAACCACTTGGGTTTCCTCGTGGAGGCCATCATTGTTGTCAACCTTTTGTAGTTTATATGAATACAATAGAGAACCAGTGTCAAAAAAAAGAGCAGTAAAAAATTATAAACAGAACAAATGAAAATTTTTTTGGAACTAGTTACGTGTTTTGGAAAGCCCTTTCCAACAACTTGTTTGGACACCTTCTACGGTGGGTCGGTAAGTTCTACACACAGCTAAAACGCTGTGATTGCGCAACCATTTTTGAGCAGACCGGGAGATGGTCAGGAATTGCGAAAACGACTAGCAGGACGCTAGCGTGGAAAGACGATGAGATCTTTTCAGACTTCTGTGGTTGCATACATAAAGTACTATTACCAGCCGTTACACGACGTGCTACTTGTAAATTTCCGACAAAGCATCATAAGAATCAAGACTAAATCTCAGTACTAGACTTTTAATGATGCAGTAATGCATAGGCAAGTCTGAAACTACCTTAGAAGAATTATGCAGGTTAAGAATCCTACATCAAAAAAATGAAATTTGGATTACGATAGAAAAAAGCATTTTTGAAGTTGGGACGTTTGGGTTTGGAACTTTCGTCTTAACAACTTTCTTTTATCTCACCACAAAAATTATGACAGTTTGCCTTTCCTCAACTCTCTCAATCAATGGCTACTAAAGTGAGTTATTTTATAATTGAATGTAATCATTTTTTTCTAATAAGCATTACCAAACAGCCTCTATTGATAAACAGCAAGTTAAAAAACCTACAAAATCTTTAACTTTTTTGCTGTTCTCTCCTAAGAATTAACGTAGATTAATAGCACTTCATCAATAACTAACTAGTCGCAACTCATTTGCTTTATTCTTGCCAACATTTCCTTCTAAATATACAACCGTGTTTTCTCGTATAATTTTTGCTTATTAACATTTTTAAACTCTGCTGCAGTTACAGACAAAAACAGTTCTTGCGATTTAATAAGAACATTTTAAATCAAATGATCTCTGTGAGTCTTCTACTCCAAGAAGCTGCCTGTTTAACCACTACTGCTACTCAAATGCTTTTATACTGATCTCGATCAACAAAAAAAAGTACTCTCCTCTTGCAGAATTTTCACCTTGCACTAGTTATCAAGATCAAATCTGTTTAGAAAAGAAACGCCTGGCTAAACTTGCTGGTACGAACAAAACCAGTGCTGATGACTATAAACTGAAACCTTCAAAATACAATGAGGTGACAGGATTCACAATTCAAGTTTTAGAAAAAAACCCTTGCACAATAAAAACTTTCGGGTTCTAGACACTTCAGACCTCAAACTACTCAAATTTCTTTATGGCAAGGCAGCTTATAAAAGTATTTGGTGCTGAAAATAACCAAAAATGTCTACTTAAGATTTCAAAAACACCAGATAATGCTCATTTCCAAAATGCAACCGTTTTTCTTACGAATCAGTTGAATAGTGTCACCAACAAAAGATAAACGATGTTTGGCATAGTTTGATTATTGATATTTTTTAACTGTTAGGAACTTACAGTCATTGCTGAGTGAACAACTAATGCTAATTTGCACCAAAAAATAACGTGGTTCAGCAAAAACTGACTTTTATTTGATAACTAATATTCTCAATAAAATTTTTCTTAAATTATTATACTATAAATAGATATCAAGAAACCGATTTTTATTTTGACTCTGAGACCTACTTAGTAAGTTTGCTGGAACTAAATATAAGATTATGGTAAAAATGAAGAAACTGATGCTTAAAAAACTATGATCCCATTGCCGATCAAACACCACAAGTCCGTGTTCTTAATTTTGATGTAAATGTCCCTTCACTATTTTTCTTGCTCCTATTTATTCTCTGCAAAATCGCTCATGTTCAACATTATTACTAACCTTATTTAGGCTTGAATACGTAAATTTTTAGATTTATTACACGTTAAAGAACAACTGTATTTTGAATCACTGTCTGAAAAAATAAGACCGGAAACAATTTATCTGCAGTTTGTCTTGCCTCCGCTGTAGTATTCAGCCAGCAACTTCTTTAAGATAACTTTCCAACAGCCTTTACCTTACTCATCAATTTTTTTTTGCTTCTGTAAAACTACAACCTCCCTCTTTCTCTGAAAAAAGAAAATAAACAATTTGAAATCAGATTTCCAAAAAAGAGAATTTTCAGTGTTCTTTGAATCGAATTTCTCAATCATCTGCTGTCTAGTAAGCTTTTCTATAAGTAAAAAAAGTTATCTCATATGTTTAGTACGTGAGAGTTCTAACTGAGAAATTTCAGTAATGTTACAGATTTTTCAAAAAACCAAAAATAAAAAAACGGATGAAAGAAGACTAAAAAAAAATTCAAAATAGTACTTTTGGTTCTTCTGTCTCTTACAAATAAAAATATAATGTCAACAGTCCATTGAAAAAAAAAAATGATAAAATGAAATTTGAGGAAGGCAATTGCTATACCGTCTTCTCTTTTCTCTTCAAAAATTTTATTTTGTAATCCTATTTTATAACTGATTCTAATTTATTTTGAGTTCTTCTCACCTAGACAACAGATGACGTTGAGTACTTTGTCAATAAATGTTGCAACATCAACGACTAGCAACGGTGCATTACATATAAACATCTGGCATGTTAGTTTTTATCAAACAATGTTGCTGCTACTAAACCGTCATTAATGTTACAGCAAAACAAACCTGAAAAATGAACAATTCGAAAAAA